CATTTCACGTACTGGGACACTGCGCTCATCGTGCTGCAGGCCCTTGAGGCTTTAGGCATAGAGAAGGCCTACGCATTAGGAACCAGCCAGGGAGGTTGGATTATCGTGAGGATGGCACTACTGGCGCCGGAGAAGGTAATTACTGAATTTTGGACACTACTTGATAAGAGCTAGATTGTCTCGGCTCACAAAGCATAGATACTTGGCCTTCTTCCTCTTGGCACGTCGATGGATGCTGAAACTAGCGAAACCCGCGAGAAGGGCTGCTGGTAAGTTAAATGTCTTTCGATGAAGCCCTCCCGGTCCTGTCGTGGTATCCCTGGACTAGGCTCGCCTTTTGAATAATAGTTATCATTAAAAAGTCTTATGGCTAACCACCGTAGGGATCCGGTCCCATTTCTACAGCCGTTCCTCGAGAAATGGGGTAGCCCTACCCCAAACTTCGTCGTCGGCGACGACTGGATCCAAGCCGTAATCGGGTTGGGTTTTGGATCTGCGGGAACCCCTCAAACCCTCGAGTTCTGGACTGAGACTCTTCGTCGCGTCTACTCAGGGAACGAGGGACGCCGAAAGCTTCGGATGGCCGCCATCTGCTTGGCAGACAGAGATGGGCTGCAGCTCAGAATAGGAGATATCAAATGTCCCGTCCATTGGCTACACGTATGTTTTTCTTTTTTGCCGCTCACCGCTGAATGATTTCTCATTGAAGGGATAATCGTTACTGAGACATTTCTAGGGATCGGCCGATGTTGTCTACAGCCCTATCGTTGCTCAGGAGCATTCCCAACGATTTACGGGTTCAAGCGACGTCCAGTTTAATGTCCTCGAGGGTGGCGCTCACTTCTTGGTTGCGACGCATCCTCAGGAGGTTGAAGACGCAATTTTGGCTATGACCCCAAAGGTCTAGATTAGACTGTTATTCGAAGGACCGGGCCATATACATCATAGGCTGTCGGGTGAAAGTTTAGTAATTAGTCGAGACAGGTACGGGTTTATCAGAGGATAAAGCAAATAGTTCATCCAATGCAAGTTTCGGCAAGGGGATATCTGATACCAGGGGATTAACTTGCCATTATACACAATCGAAAATCAATATTTGATAACAGGACTGTTTGGCCAAACCTATTAAAGAAATCACTTGGCTGGGATTCAGACAATGATTCGAGTGCTTGTCTCCTACATAGTAACTAAAGCCCCTGTTGCTATTAAGCCACTGACGCAAGACAGCGTTCAATGGTAATTACCAAACGCACGAATCATCGTCAATAATTGAACGTACTAGGAAATAACTCTTGTAATACAGCATGCAGTGATACATCAGTAGTCCTAAAGCAGAATAGCTCATTCTAAAGGAAGTACTGTCGAGTAAGACCAGCCCGCCCTAAGATAATATAATGTCGAATTATAGACGCCCTTAAGTTAATTAGAATCTAATATCAGTTTGGGTACTTTAATTGGTGGCGTATTTCTGATGACTTTCTATCATACTTTCACTCTCACCTACTTCTTCTCCTTTTCAACTGCACCTTCCTGAGCTTCGTCTTCCGGACTCGTTTTGGAGGGATTCTGGCTATCACTACCCATACGCCCGATCGACCATGGACCAATGGGTCCTCAGCCCCGACTTTATAGAGCCACAGTGCTTCATCGGGCCCTGTGTAAGTCTTGCCTTATTCTTGATCCTTACACAAATATCAACAAAGCTGAGTCTAACGAGATCCAAAATCTAGTGCCTGTCACTGGTGGCTTTGCTTGGTGAGAAGGTTGCCTTTCCAGGAAACCAAAGATATAGTTCTTCTATTTCTTCGTATCATAGCCAGCAACAATCTCGTCTCGAGCCTTTATGTGTCGTTATACCAATCACAAGCCAAGATGTCTCTGTCGTAGTTAACTCACTATCCGTCACAGCTGAGTCACTTGAAGATTATGAACAGAATAGTTGCCGATTTGCTATCCGATCCGGTGGGTATGCAGGCGTTGCTGGGGCGGCAAATATTGCTGGCGGGGTGACTATAGACCTTCGCTCTCTTAACACTATTGAGGTGAGCGAGGACAAGTCTATAGCCTCCGTAGGAGCAGGTGCTCTTTGGGGCGATGTCTATTCAATGCTAGATCCTCTTGGTATATCGGTAGCTGGCAGTCGTATAGCACAAGTCGGCGTTGGTGGGTTCACTTTGGGTGGCGGGATTTCATACTTTTCGCCGCGGTATGGTTGGACATGCGATACGGTGTCGAATTATGAAGTTGTTCTTGCCAATGGGTCTATCGTAAACGCCAATGCCGATGAGAACCCCGGTCTTCTTTTTGCTCTCAGGGGTGGCTTAAACAACTTTGGCGTTGTCACCCGGATCGACTTTCAAACTTTCGAACAGGGTCCCATATGGGCAGGAGGGATTCTTTCCTCTAGTGATACCATAGATGAACAGCTGCAAGCTTTCATTGATTTAAATTCGGCAGAACATTATGATGAATATGCGTCGTTAACTACGAATATTGGTTATGCTGGCGGTCGTCAAACTTTCATCTTAAGCAACGTCGAATACACGAAAGCCGAAGAGAACCCACCAGTTTTTGAACAACTGATGAAGGTAAATACGAGGGATGAGAAAGTGCGCATTGCCAGCATGGCAGAAATGGCGGCGGAACAGGGCTCGTACTCGAAGAATGGGCGACGGTATGTACTAGGGGTTTAAAACAACCAGAACACACGTACCATATCTAAACAACATGCTAACACACTATATAGCCAATTGTTTGTCACGATAACCCACAAGTCAACCGCCCCAATGCTGAATGCAGTTTACTTAAATTGGAACCAAAGTATAGAGACGATCAAAAGCGTCCATGGCATCGTCTGGGCCATTTCGCTAGAGCCGTTGCCACCGGCTATCTACGCGCGATCCGCAACGTCTAACATTTTCGGGCTTTCAGACAGGTCGGATGCGCTGGTAATAACCTTATTAACTGTATTTTGGAGAAACGAGGCGGACGGTTCGAAGGTTGAGATGGCAGCGCGCGAATTATTTAAAAAGATGGAGGACGATGCGAAAAGGTTAGGCGCGTACGATCCCTTCATTTACCCAAACTACGCAGCGCCGTGGCAGGATCCCATTGCTAGCTACGGGGACGAAAGCTTGCGGAAATTACAGAGAGTGAGGATGGATGTAGATCCGAAAGGGGTCTTCTCTCGACAAGTTCCTGGTGGTTTCAAGATACCGTTCTAGTTAACTAAAGTCTAAGGCATCACAGCTATATGTTTATGATCATATGTATGGGACTATCGTATAAGAATTGTGGATAAGATAAAAATATCACTACTAATTACAATAATTTCTAAGGTAACATAACATACATGATCCCTACTCTCAAGGTGAGACTGGTACAATGGGCTTCCGTGTCATGGCGACATCCATGGGCTTGGTGCTCCATTGTTTGAGTGCTTAATAGATAAGGTCCATCGGTATCACACAATGAAGCAGGAAATAGAAAACAGAATTACAGAGTGGAATAGAATGTTCTTTGTGTATTTTTCATGGCCAAAGCCGGCACGGAATATTCTTTTCTATAACGAGCCACAGAAGGCTACCCTTGGTTCTTTGATCCTTATAGCTACAGATCAAAGACTGAGAGAAACTCGGCTATTAAAATTTAAAGGTATACATACATATACCTAACATAATTGTGTGCGAACAAAGAAAGGAGTAGCAAACAGAACACCCTGTGTACCCAGGTAATATATAAGGATGTCTATGATCGCTTGAGATTGTTTGCTCTCATCACAAGGTACGCCGATTACTACATCTCTGTACTAATACCCTCAAGCTTTTGAGACATATCTAGAACTACCTACCTACGTAGGTAGCTATTAGGTAGATAAGCTCCAATAAAGCAGCTCACCTGCATTGGAAAGTAGACATCTCGAACTTCGGCAAGATGTATCGCGGCTCCGTAGCAATGGGATTTTATAAAAGACTCCCAGGCATCATATGTATCGCTACGCTAATCGGCTGCTTTTCCTTTGCTCTTTTCCATGTTGCTGCGTATATCACCTCTCCCCGGGAGGGCTCACACGTTCATAATCTCAAGACGCAAGGACCTACAAACGCGCAACAGCTCCTAACGAAAGCCCATTCCTCAAATGGCCTTAACCACTACGAAGTCCTCGATATTCCGTGGTTCTCACCAGCTGAAACCGTAAAGAAAGCATATCACAAAAAGTTATTAATATACTCTCCCGATAAGTTTAAGGGCGACGAAAAAGAAGCGAACACGAAGATACAGCAAGTAAGAGAAGCCTACCAAACCCTCACGAGCAAGGAACGTTGCATGCACGACTTTAATCTTGGGTCGGGTATACGCCATTTCGTCAACTGCAATCAAGTATGGCTCGACAGGGAAGAGGAGATATTCAACGAAAAGCGGAAGGAAGCGGGAGGAAGAAAAAAGAGATGGACAGGGGCATGGAAGTGACTAGATGCGAGAACAAACGATGAAAGAAGCTTGTTCAGGGGGTCAAAGACAGCGGTATATTGGCTGCTAAAACTACCTCTTTCTTTTTGTGGCGAGATGGATTCTTGCATATTTTGGAAGGGATACTTCTATCGGATCCCTCGAGTGATCCAAATAGATATAGGTGGTAGTTTTAGCTTATTGGAATGTGGCATTCGAGTGGCGTTATGGTCGACGGATTCCCAGTTTGTTCTCACCGTTCAAGTCAAGGATTCCTTAAGACCAGGCCTTAAAAGAATCTTTTAATCGGCGTTGCAAGTAATTGCGTCTATACATCGTCTACTTCACTCTAGGTTGCTGCCAACATAATTGCCTCTGAGTTTGAGTAGGTACCTAATGTAAAATAAATACCAAGTGCGGTCTTGTAACGTGGAATATCAATCCCACTGTAAAGCTATGTCTGTGCTTCGATCAAAAGGACCATTGATAAGCTAAATTTACCAACACTTTTCATAAGATCCAGAGTACCCCACTTTGCGGAGGCACTCAGAGGCACTTTGGCGGAGTGGTTAACGCGATGCCCTGCTATACATCAATAGTCTAGTTAGGCATTCCCTTCGGGGGCGTGTGTTCGAATCACACAGGTGTCGATTTTTTTGGCCACCGATAGAAGGTGGGCTTTTAGTAAGAGTTAAAGCCAACTGCATAGTTTGCACTTAATGGATTAAGTACTTTACTTTGGCTCTATTTTGTTGGGACTACGAAGTACAACAAGTAACTAAACTTTCTAATAACATTTTCATTATATATTATATTTATATCATGAAATTAATTTAATAGAAACATATTTTATACTCCTATTAGTTAATAATTTTAAACTTGTCAAAATGTTGCTATTTTCCTTTTATGTAATTAAAGTTAATCGCGTATTATTTTATAAATAAATTAAATTACCGTTATTAAAGCTACTTTAATAAAAGCCACCCATTTCTTATATAAAATTAATAAAATTGTATATTTAAAAAGATTTTTTTAAAAATATATATATATTTAAAAAATTAAATTTTTTATTTTTATATTATTATTATTTTTATATTTTATATATTTTTTATTAATTTTCTATTTAATTAATTTTTTTATATTATATATTTAAAAAAAGGTGTTATTAAAGTTTATATCAAAAATATATAAGGAATATATAAGGAAACGGATTAAAATTATTTTTTTATATTAAAATTAATAAAAAAAATTTATAACTTTTAAAATAAAATAATTATAAATAAAATATTTTAGGAATATTATATATTAAAATTTCTTTTATATTTTAATATATATTTGTTAGATTAACAAAGGGTTAATGATATATAATGTTATATTTGGAGTATAAATAAGATAATGCTTAATTAAAGTATTATTTACAATCTATAACTCGAATAAAGAATAGTTAAGGTATAGGTGGGGTAAAGTCCTACGCCAATTATATAATAATTTATCATATAATCCCACTTTTAATACTGGCAATTTTTCTTTTTTCCTTTACATATTCACATAACCACACCTACCATATAACGGTTAAAACGTTAGAATATACGGTATAAAATTAGTCTTTTTTGTAATTCTTTTCCTTTACCATTCCAAATTAATTTAAATTAATATTATTTTTTTAACAATAATTTTTTCTTTATTTCTATAATATCTAACAAACGTTATATTAATATACCTATAAAACATACCGTTTTATACTAATAGTACTATTATAACATAATTAATTAACAACCCGATGCCGTTAATAAAGATTCCAATTCTTATTATTTTAAAATAATTAATAAATATTATCCCCATTACTTGTTATTATATTTATTATTTAATTTTTGGTAATTATATCGGTTAAATATAAATAATATATAAACGGTCGGAAATTATATATTTTTATATTAATTTAATATAATTATGTTATAAAAGCGGTTATTAAAATATAAGAAAATAATCTAAGGGCTTATCCAATATGTATTATGTTTTACATACGTAATTATCTACTAACGTTTTTAAAACGTTATCAAAAATATTTAAAAAGATTTAAAGAAATGTTTATAATAAATAAAAAATAAAAATCAAATAAACAAAATTTATATTATATAATAGTGTTATAAGGTTACCCAAAAACGTAATAATTATTTAATAAATATTACCGAGAATATTTATATTAAATTAAAAAATACTACTATAAAACTTCGTCTTTTTTATAAAATAATTAAAAAGTTTTCGGTTTAATTCTTTAAAATATATTTTATCCTTTATATTAATATATTATCTATTTTAATAATCTTTTTTTTTTTAGTAAACGGTTAATTTTCGAAATCACTCTCCAATTAGTTTAATATTTAATTCACCTTTATTACTTTTTAATATAAAAACGCCTTAATTAAATTTAAAGAACGTTATTATAAAAATATATAAGGTTTCAATATTTTTTAACGTTTAAATTATTTTTAGTTTTATTTAATTTAATTTTATAATTTTATAATAAAATAATTAATATTAATAAATGCTTTTAATACCTTATTAATATTTAATTTAATTATTGCGTTAGTTAAATTATCTTTTTTATAAATTTATTTAATATTACCTATTTTTTATTGTTTATATAATTATTATAATAATATAATATTAATTATTAATTTTTTCTTTTTTATTATACCAAATTTAATAAGGTATTTATAAAATAAAAATAAATTAGTATATATAATGATTAGGGTAAGTAAGAATTTAATCTTATTAAAAATTAACGTTATCATTATTCTAATTATTACGGCTATATTTATATTATAGATTATTACGTAAATTTTGTTTATTAAAACGTTTTTAATAATTTGTTTATATTTTGTTAAACTTTAATAGATTAAATTTCCTTTTATTATAAATAAATTATTATATATGGTTTCATTAATAATAAATATTTTGTAACTTATTTAAAAACTAAAATCCTTATTATTCGCAAATAAGCCATTTATAAAAATAAAGATCTTAATATTAATTAAATTTATTTAAATAAATTGGAATCTTTATTACAAATTATTGCGTTATTATTACAATTATTTATTTAACCTATTAACTTTTTCTTTATCTAAATCTTAATGTTATGTTATTTTAGATATATTAAATATTGCCTTTAATTGGTAAATTAAAGTTATATAAGCACTATAGATTTTTTATTACATATAATACTATTTTATATCGCCCGTATCAATTTCTACAATTTTTATTTTCTTACCTTGCCTTTTTTATTATAAATATATCTTGCTTTTTACATTTTTAAATATAATATATCTATTAAATATTAATAGATTATTTTCCGCAAAATAAGTCTTTAATTTTATCTTAAACCTTACTTTTTCTAATTCTTTATTTTCCAAATTATTAAATACTTTATCAAAAACTTCTAATATATTATCTGTTTATATTACAATCAATTTAAATTATTCTATAAATTTTAATATTAAAAAATATAAATTATAAATAAAAATTATTATATAAAATTTTTTTTTATAATATTTAAAATATATTGCCTACTAATATATTCCTACCTTAGGGATACTATATAGAAATTTAATAATAATTATAATTATTTCTTTAAAAAATATATATTTTATTTTTTTAAATAATTTTATTATAATTATGCGGTTAAAGTTTATTTTAAATTATATATATACTTACGTTATATTTTATAATTATATTACAATTTTTTTTATTTTTATATTTAAAGATAAAATAAATGTAATAACAATTTGTTAATTTAATTATTATATTATGGATAATTATATCAAAATTACTTCTTTTCTTTTATTATTATACCTTTAAATAATAAATCTTAATTTCTTATATAAATTATTAATTATCTTTCTTTTAATTTTATATATAATTCTTAAATTAAATAAGCGGTTATTACCATATTTCTTTTTATTATATTTTTTAAACAAAAATATTCTTTATTTAATAAATCCTTTAATTTCTTATTAATCTAACTTTTTAAATAGTTGCCTTAACGTTATAATCTTACCTTCCTTTTAAAATTATATAATAAATTTTGTATTAACCGCTTTTTTTAAGGAAATGTAAACTATATTATTTGTTAATTTTAGCTTATTTTTACTACTTAAAAGTCGTCTTTACGCCTTTTTTTTAGTAAATACTTCAACCTTTAAAACGTAATTATCTACTACATTATTTCCGTTAAGGTCGGGATTCTTATCTTTATTACGTAAGATATTAATTATTTTGTTCCGGAAGTATAATTTTATAATAATTATATAAAATTTAATTAATTTATTATTAATATTAACAATATATATTTTACCGTTTTATATAATAAATTTATAAAATCCTATTTAACTTCCATTTTCTTAATAAATTTACACTTCTAATTATAATAAAAGGTCTAATATTTCTATTATATTTGATCTATTTTTTATTCCAAATATATTATTTATTTAATATTATATCTTAAATTTACGCATTTTTTCCATTACTTTCTTTACCGCCACTAAATATGTTACAATAAATAATATCGATAGTAAACTTTTAATTAATTTAAAATATATATTAAATATAAATAATATAAAAATTAAACCGTTTAATTTTATAATATTATTAATTACCTTAACTATTATTTGGAGGATATAATATATATTTATTTAAGTTCTTTAAAAATCTTCTAATATAACCTTATACACTTATTATAACAATCTATAATATCGTTTCAATTATTTAATTAAATTATATACTTTAATAAGCACTTCCTTAATTATTATAAATAGTTTTTTTATATTTATTATAAATTTTTTTACCTTAAAATTTATATTAATATTAAAGATTAAATTATTAAATAATCCAAAATAACTATTTATTTATATTATTTGTAATGTATTCCAGATATACTTAACTATTATATCTTTAAAAAACTTTACTATTTAAAATAATATTATTTTATTAATAATATATAATACCGACTTATTATTAATATATATTATATTAACGTAAATATTATAATTAAAATTGATATTATCTTTTATAATAAATTTAAATTTTTTTAATATATTATTATATATTTGACATTAATAGTAATATTTATTAATCTTTTTAATAACGTTATAGTTAAATTTATTATATCCTATTTTATTAAAGATACAATAAAATTAATTTACTATAAAATAACTAAATCGTTAGTAAATTTACTGTAATTCCATCTTTATAAAATAGTAATAAACTACCGTTTATTCTTAATTATTTAATAAAAATTATAAATATCCCCATTTTCAAATAATAGAATAATCCTTTTTCTTATAAATTAACACATTTTTTACGTTATTAAAGAATATACTAAAATAATTTATATTTTCTATAAAAAATAAAAATAAAATATTTAATAACATTATTTAAAAAGGAATAGTTTTAAATAAAATTAATATATATATAATTTCAAAGTTTTATTAATTTAAATTATTACCAAATTAAATTATATAACGTTTAATTATTATTATATTTATCTTAATATTTAAATACGTTATTTATAAAACTTTTATCTAAAGTTCTCCTCCCGATAATATACCAGTAACTCTAATATTAAATAAAATTCTTTAAAATTTATAAAAAT